AAACCGCTTCTCAATAAAATATACCATCGGGGGCAAATATACAGCCTGACAATTATCAATAATGGTGGAAGAAACGCATAAAAAAGCTTATATTTTTGAAAAGTATACCGTTTCTATCAATAACTTCTTTATAGTTCTAGATCTACCAATACATACGTTCCATCTTAGGATCCAAGAGTTTAAAGATAAGTTCTAGATACGTCTTGTATCACATTTACATTATAAATTTTAGATCATATGTACTCAATTGTCCATAAAACTCACCCTAACAGAGCCGTGCCTGTTTTGTCTTCCTCATGTCTGGTAGACGAGAAAGGTTTCTTCTCCCATACTTAAGTTTAGTCTCTACGTTGTCAGATTTCACAGTGTGTGCTCAGCAATCGCTTCTAAATTTGCTTATTTTTTAAAATTTGTCAGTACAAAATATTTTGAATAAGCTAAAATTACGAAACTTGAGCATTTTAAAATTTATTCCTGCATGTGTAAACGGGGAGGAAAGTTTGGATTATAATAATAACTGTGAAGTTCGTTCCAAATCGTGAAATAAATTTTCAATTAAATTTGAAGTATAATATCACCGTAACGAGAGACTTTAGCTACCGCTAACGCTGAAATTGCAGCGCTAGGGGGACTCAGCACGGCGGGTACATGCAACGTCTCCTGTGCTGGGGGGGCCACGTGTGGAGGTGCGGTTGGTGCTGGTGTGAGTGCCTGGTTACAGGATCCTACACCTCAGTCCGCCATTTCCATATCCACCCCCAGCCTCATTTTCGTCAAGATCAACACCGTGAGTGGGAATAATCAACTAATAATGTTCATGCCAACTAATAATAATTCATGCTAAAACTAAAAAACTAAAACTATTCTGCATTCATGCTAAAACAATGCAGAATATTCGCTTAATTTTTCATGTTCTACTCAGGAAAATCATAATATCATTCAACAGTTTAAAAATCATTAATTACACATTCATTCTTCTATCCTAACCCTTGAATTTATGACAATTTGACTTCTAACTGCTTCAGCCTATTATCAAACTAAGACTGGAAACCTCAGAACCTTTAGACTGGCACTGGAACTGATAATGATGCAACGAAGAGGATTACCGAACTCATTAATTTGTATTGAGGAGCAGGGAATGCCCGTCGTATAAGCTGTATATATGGTCAAGCGTTCTGTAGTCCATGTCTCGGTACTCAGGCTGTAAGCGTCTCGGTGAACAGCTCCGGCCCCTTCTACACGGACTGGGGAGACGGGGCCATATCGCTCCTTGGCTTCACGCAATACACCTTCACAATGGCAGGACGCTTCACAATCACGGGTGAGATCAATAAAAAGTACTTATTTTAATATAGAAAATAAAATACTCGAACAATACTTTGACTGACCCGAGATTAGTCTGACGAAGTCGTCCAGTTGTTTGCATCTCAAAAATTCTTCGTCTTCCCGATCATTTATGAGCGTTCACGCTAAATAGCTCCGGGAGATTCTACCTTCCTGCGCTAGGATATACAAATTGAAAACCAATAAAAAATTTAATAATCGACTGTGGTGGTAAACTGATGCCTGGGGGTAAACTGAGGTGTACCTAAACTCGCCCCTTACTGGTGAACCCGTTGAAGGTATATCATAATGTAATTAATTACTAATATGTTGATTTTAAGCCACAATTTCTTGTTTTGGTTGAAAAATGGCTGATAGCTATTATAAAAGAAAGGTATTTATTTTTTCAACGTTGGTGCATAGTTTGTTATGATATTCTCCGCATAAATAATATTTTTGACGTATATAAGGGATTCATCGAGTATCCAAGCATGCTGGCAAGTCAATTAGTCCAGCTTGGTAGATCAGCAGGAATGTGCGATGCCATGCAGAATAAAACATCGGGCACCGTTCATCTCTTCCAGGGAAAGTAATCTGCAAAATAATCATTAACATAATAAGAAATTAAAGCCTAGTCTCCAGATTAAAAAATAAGATAAAACGTTGTTGTATGATGGAAGTAATATATCGAGTCAAGTTTCATGCCAGATTTCATTTCATGCTGTAACGTGACGAACCTCAACCAATTTCTAGTAACAAAAACTGACATACCACTTAATTTATTATTTATCGAACATCGAGTATCATGTCGAGCATCAGTGAATATCTGAACCATATGTTAGCCTTAATTACAACTATAGATATATTTAAATGTATTTTATATTTAAATATATTTATATTGTTCAGCTCGCTTGCACGACAACGACGCAGTAGCAGCACCCTCCAAGCAGGTGGTGGTAGTGGACGCTCCCAAGACTCTACTACTCGACTGCCCCAAGTTACTGCAGGTCGCCGTCCCTGCCTCCTGCAACGTCACTAGTTGGCAAGGCTACAACTTCACCTTTTCGACGGCAATAAAAAGTCCCTTCCAGAATCAAACATTTGTCGGGTCTCTCCCAGGTAAAAACATATGAACATGAACTTCGTCATTTGAAATTAATCCTTTAATATATTTGTTCAAAGTCACATATAAGTAAAGGGCTTACTTTTCATACTATTGTATTGGTGTATGTCAATATCAATTTCATCTTATCACGTAAATATTACATTTGAAAATGAATTGATCACCAAATGTGGATGTTACACTTAAATGAAAATTTCGATCTAGTTTGTAACGCGTAGCTGACGGGAATATAATGAGTCAACTAATTAATTTGAGGAGATATAATTCTTCAAATGTTTTGTATAAAAACCAGGTAATGAACATGTTATAACTGATTGATAGAAATATTTTTTTCGTTCACAGCTTTATTTAAAATTCATAAAGCCTTAACGAAAATAATAAATACAGGTGCGACCGTGCGGCAGAGAGGACGGACGGTTTTATAAACGTCTTAAAACAGTATATTTTTACTGAAAAACAACTTTATTAATGCAATTAGGTTCACAAAGAAATAGCATTTCGGACAGTTAAGTGTGAAAAAAACATCTGGCATGTGTTGGCCAAAATCGTTGATGCGATGCAGTGCTGTCGGCGCTCATGAAAGTTTTCTTAGACTCCCTCCAACACCGCTCAACACCTCATATTGTTTAAGAGTGACGAAGCCCACTTTCACCTAAACGGAATGGTTAACCAGCAGAATTTTCATTATTGTTTAGCGCTAATGAGAATCCTCAACAGTTACACGAAAGACCACTGCACAGCCCAAAAGTAACGGTTAGGTGTGCTGTATCGCAAACGTGCATCATTGGCCCTTACTTCTTTGAAGACGGTAATGGTCGTGCTGTTACTGTGAACTCAGAGCGCTAAACAGAAATGATGACCAACTTCTTTGTCCCTGAATTACGACGGCGTCGTGTTCCAACCCGACGTGTGTGGTTCCAGCAGAATGGGACGACCGCTCACACAGCCAGAGCATCAATGGACGTCATCCGCCCACTCTTTCCTGGTCGCCTTATTTCAAGCTTTGGCGATGTTCGTTGGCCTCCTCGGTCCCCAGATTTATCAATATGTGATTTTTTCTTATGGGGACATCTCAAGGCTACAGTATACGAACACAAGCTCCGAACTCTGGACGAATTAAAGGACGCAATTCGTGTGGAAGTCGCGCATGTTGAGAAAGCGGTGTTGGATGGAGTCTACGCGAACATTCAAGAACGCCTACAGCACTGCATCAACAATTTCGGTCACCCCATGCCACATGTTATTTTCCACACTAAACTATCTAAAATGCTATTTCTTTGTGAACCTGATTGCACCAATAAAGTTGTTTTTCAGTAAAAATGTACAGTTTTATGACGTTTTTAAAACCGTCCGTCCTCAATGCCGCACCCTGTAAGATAAAAAAAATAAATTAATAATAAATAAATTAGATTATGAAGCTTCCAAGCCTCAGTTATCGACGTCTGCGTGGGAACCTCATAAGAGTATACAGGTATACTCACGGCTTATACAAGGTCCCAGAAGGATTACTAGAATTTGAAACAAGAACCAACACCAGGGGCCACGGCTATAAACTAAAAAAACTGCGTTGTAACACATCCATGCGACAACATTTCTTCTCGCTTCGAGTCACCGACATGTGGAACAGCCTCCCTGATAGCATCGTTGACGCTCCGAGTATGAACGCCTTCAAAAACAGACTAGACGAAGCTATGCATGAACATATGTTCAGTCTTAAAATGCCTAGCAAATTACGGACCAGGCAATAAGTCCAGCAGCTATCTCAATCATTAGTCAGTTATGGAAAAATCGTGTTCCAAAAGCCGGATCCCTTGTGAATCAAGTCACGAAAAGTTCAAGAATCGGCAACAGGCCATAGGCCTATTTTCTTCAGTGCCGACACTTCTAATCTATTCTGAAAGACCAAATGATTCTTCGTCTAATTTCCACAACTCTCTCTCTACGCCCACGTTTTTACTTTTAATCAAGCCACTAAATGATTAGACTCAACAATGGTTTTTGAATAACGAATTTTTTTTTCTCACAACGAAGATGCTGAGTTGGATTTGTACGGATCGACCGTTCACCCCGAGAACGCCACGAGCAAAACTTCCAAGACTTACAATGGCCAAGACATCGTGCTGCTCCGGAACGGCCTCGTCCGGCGGTCCGGAATTCTCGCAAGGGTTATAGTGGGAGCACCCCTCGGTTTCTCCATCGAGATAATTGTGAGTTATTAAAAAATATAGGGACTTCTATTAAGAATCCCCCTTCATTAAATAATATAGGGGTATCTGAAATGTACTTTCATTGATTTGGTATTATATTATTTCTGAGAGATGCTGACAAGTGTAATGACTGATTTAATTAGAGTTCGAGATTAATCGAACAATTAACAGATTTTTGATGAAGTGATAAATTTTTTAAATAAATGACGTATTGAGTAAGCAGCTAATGTTAGTGGAAGGCTTGCCAAAGATTTAAAATCTTCAAAATAAATAATGATTTAAATATAGTAGTGGGAACTAATGAATGCATATGCGATTGAGATGAATATTACATAGGAGCCATTCACATGCGAGTGGGGATCGTTGAATGTACGGGACAAAAATTGCATAAAGTGATTAGGTGTAGATAAAACTTTCAAAATGATGAGGCTAAGACTGGGATCTCTGAGTAGAATTGACGATCTGAGAGAAATCCTGCAATTAACATGACCTTTCACTAAAGAGATTTGTCATAGAAAGACTCATTCGAAAAAAAAACTGAGCCATTTTCGAAAGTGGTGGTTCAGAAACTTCTTTTCCTATCCAGTTGCAATTGTTCTTTTTTTATTCGTGAGTTTCAATGAATGATCTCGACATACCTAATTTTTTACTAGTTTTTTTAAAAAACCAGCAAAATCTTCGATCACAACTTATTGAAAATTGCATTTGCTGATTGTTTTATCTGCAGAAATTGACTCCAGTCTGCGTGACGGGCACCTACTGCGGGGGCGCCTGCCGCACAGCCTGCACAGGAACCTGTTCCGCATCATGTCCTAACATCCCTGCCTGCAGTCCTGCGTGCTCTGTACAGTGTGAGTTGCAGTCTTATCTGGTCTGTACATTCTGGATTGCAGTCCAGCCTGCTCTGTCCAGCGTGAGTTTTACAGACCAGCCAGCTCTGTACAGTGTGAGTTACAGACCAGTCAGCTCTGTACAGTGTGAGTTACAGATCAGCCAGCTCTGTCCATTGTGAGTTGCAATCCTGCCTGCTATGTAATAACGTAACATATTGATGTCGGCGCTAACGAGTAGGCCTGATGTGGCCTGTCGCCGAATCTTGAACTTTTCGTGCCTTGTTCATAGAAGATCTAAATCTTGTCATTTGACCGGATATTTTCAAGACTGACGATAGTTTGAAGTAGTAGCTACTAGACTTCCACCGGGTTCGATATGGTGCTAGGCATTTCAAATCTGAAAATATATTAACACGTTTTTCTTAGCTTAGCTTCGCGTTTGTTTGTTTGTTTGTTTGTTGTTAACATTGACAACAAAAATTAGCCCACTTCTAATTGCTCTAGAGATCTGAAATTCGGCATGCAGGCTATTTTCGCCTAACAATTTCAGATACAATCATAAAAACTAGCAATTAGAGACCTAAATTAGCTTAATTGAGTAAAGTATATATAAATAGTATATATGTATGTCGATAACTGAGGCTTGGAAGCTTCATAATCTTTAATCTTTCTTCATAGGACTTGCCCTTCAAGCCTGGAATTATCCTTGTTGCACGTCTTTGAACATACTCTGTTAAATTTTTGTCCTTTTCAAATCTCGGTGACCACACAACGTTTCCAAACTCTAGATTCGGGCGCACGACAGCAACAGACAACTGCTTTATCGCTTCTGCATCAAGGAACTCGTAGGAGCGTCTGATTAGACCAAGAAGTTTGTTGGGTGCATTAGCTTTCGTTTCAACATGCTTAGAAAATCTTAGCTTCTCTTCGACATGTGATGAGCTGTGTACGTGTCACTAGAACTTTACAGTGTAAGGTGCGATCCTACCAGCGCTGTGTAATGAGAGTTATGGTCCTACCAGCGCTGTGTAATGGTAGTTTCGGACCTACCAGAGCTGTGTAATGATAGTTTCGGACCTACCAGAGCTGTGTAATGAGAGTTTCGGTCATAGCAGCGTTGTGTAATGAGAGTTTCGGTCCTACCAGCGCTGTGTAATGAGAGTTTTGGACCTACCAGAGCTGTGTAATGATAGTTTCGGTCTAAACAGAGCTGTGTAATGAGAGTTTTGGTCCTACGAGCGCTGTGTGATTATAGTTGCGGTCCTACCAGCGCTGTGTAATGCGAGTAGCGGTATTACCAGAGCTGCGTAATAAGAGTTGTGGTACTACCAGAGTTTTGTTCACGTCTTAACTGAACACCGCCAGCAAATCCTACTATATTATGTACAATTTTGAAAGCAGTTCTGCGTGGACTGTGCAATGTTAGTTATTATTCTGTTAATTTTTTGTGTGGTTCATTTTATTAATATTTTTATCTAGCGTGGTGCAGTATGACATGTAGATATTTCTCTAAACATCGTAATTACCTCGCATGTGTATTTTATGTTTTAGACCAGTCATCAATATCACCTGTCCATTAAATGGACTCATTACCACCTACCCATTAAATTATACAATGAATGTTGAATTTATCAATGTACGATGAGAAATATCTACATATTTTCCTCCAGCAAGCATCACCAGCTACACTCCCGTGACTTTGGTCACCCTAAGCGGCGCCACAACAAACGATTTTGACTTGTCTGGTCAATTGTACAGCGTGACTGAAGGAACTTACCTTGGCTTTAGGACCTCTTCTACAACTGTAAGTCATATAATTCGTTGCTGTCATTGCTCTCTTGCGTCTGATAACTATACAGTGACGTAGAATTATTTTTGAAGTAAAGTTTAATGTCACATAAATAATTTTAAGTATTGTAATTTATACGAGGAACATCCGGAATGTGGTACCCGTTTGGGAATTGAACAAAAGGAAGTAAATATCAACAAATGCAAACATGTTTATTGAAAAGAACATGTATTACACAACTTCTCTACATAATCTCCGGACAAATTTAAGCATTTGTCGTATCGTGTCACGAGTTTTTGTATACCAGCGTCATATGCCTCCGCAGCCAGTGTATTGAGATACGCAGTCACGTGTTCTTTCAGTTATTCGTCATTTTGAAACTTTGTCCCTGCCACGAAGTCCTTGAATTTCGTAAACAGATGAAAATCTGAAGGAGCAAAGTCCAGACTGTAGGGTGGATGGTCGAATATTTCCCGCTTGAATTTTTGGAGAAGTTGTGTTATCCGAGCCGTATGCGGCCTGGCATCATTTTGCAGGAGAATGACGCCAGTAGACAACAGACCTCGCCGTCGATTTTGAATTGCCCGCCGTATTTTTTTTAATGTTGCACAATTGCATTGAACTTGATTGTGTCTCCACGAGTCTTGAAATCGATGAGCAGTACACCTTGCCGATCCCAGAAACACTGGCGGCGGAGGAACATGACATTGGTATACAAAAACTCGTGACACGATACGACAAATGCTTAAATTTGTCCGGAGATTGGGTAGAGAAGTAGTGTAATAAATGTTCTTTTCAATAAACATGTTTACATTTGTTAACATTTATTTCCTTTTTTTTAATTCCCTAACGGGTACTACTTTCCGGATTCCCCTCGTAATAATCTTACTGTAAGAAATATGTATACAAGTCTTTTACCGTAAATACACCCTGAATACATGTTTGGCTGCAATATAAAGCGCAACATTCTGATTCGCAAAAGCGAAAAGTATGCCTAAGAGAAACATGCATTAGTTGTATTTAAGAATATTGCATAATGTTTCATCTCTCAGGGCATCTACACTACTGTGGTCAGCGGGAATGATACGGTGAAAGCGCATCTAAAAGACACCTTACTGAGCTCAGCAGGAGCTATTCTCAACCTTACCCTGGCCTACAAGTAAAATGAACTGTCGTATTTAGAATTGTCGGGTGCTCTTGGAAAATAACTGATCTCATTTAGCTTCAATCAAGTGGTTCAATAACCTATATTGTTATAATTAAAAACTTGTTTCGAGGTATTTAACTATCATTTAACGGCATAGAGTTTACTCTAAAGATACCTAACACAAGCGATCTGGGACCCAACAACAGTTATAAATTTGAACGCAAATGAAGTGTTGACCGCATTTTTATAATTATCGCTTGTGATAGTTGCTTAAGCTTAGGAATTTGAAAGCTATTGACAATGGGTAACGATGGCACGATTTCATCTAACAAACCAGCGCCCGAGATGAGACTAAAATACCAGTAATATTTTACTGTAAAATGTATATTCAAAATTCGTGGCTCTCAATTGGTGAAGTTACTGGCGCACAACTGCAGTAAAGTAGCTTTATAGTGTAATTTTAATTAAAATCTTTAATCCCAATTTTTGATAGATAATCATTAAATATATCAGAAAGGTGTTTCGATTTAAATAAATCGGATTGATAAAACATAATAAATGCTTCTTGGAAAAATTCTAAGTAGGCCGCAATATTTAAATCTAAATCGACATATTCTATTTTAAGAGGATGAAATCCCCTAATTAGGGGAGGAAGGTATTCGAAACTCTAAGTGAAGTTGATCGCGTCCAGTAAAGTTTTAGAACGAAACTCCTTGAGGTGTTCGGCCTTTTGATCTTAACTGAAATAATTCTTTGATTTTAAAGTTGGAAAATGACCTTTTAGTACTTCTCGCACGTTTTCAGGTGGATGTGCGAGCTCATTCATGAAACAAATAAATTGCATTTCGTTGAAGTAAATTCACAGCAATGAGTGAGGTCAATATATCAATAATTGAATCACTACACCATGGCGTCTTAAGCTAAACGTGAGTGAAAAGAATCATAAATAGAGTTCTTTTGATGGGAACGTTATGTTCTACGTAGAGTGGGGCACGGGAAAGTAAAATTGACCGACCTAAACTTATCAATTTGATGAGGGAAATCTGCTATGAGGCATGAAAGTAGGTCCCTTTAGTTGTATGGGTAAGATTTATTCAGGAGATATTTTATTTTATTTATTCATCCTGCCCGCTCGATGGACGAAGCTCAAATGAGGTCCCACACAATTAACTTGTACGTATACATACATATGTACCAAACATATTGTCTCGCGTTTTTCACCAAAACTAAATTTTCGTAATTAATTGCCCCATTTGACTTCTAAATTGTGTATTATTTCGTGAAAATTGAAATGTGTTCCCCCCTCCAGTCACGACGTGCGGATCATGATACAAGCACACCCAACGGTGAGCCTCCTGCCACCCATCATCTGCATCGCCCCCGCCCCCGTCAACGCCAGCAACGTCCCGCAGCCCTACACGGCTGCCACTGAGCAGTACATCTACAACACATCCTTCCTCATCAGCCTGCAGGTCACGAAATTCTATTGCTGGCCAGCTGTAGGTTGATTCTATATTTCTAATAATTTTGAATGTAGCACGGTGTAACACCGTGCTACATTCACCTTGTTACACCGCAGTGTAACACCGCGCTACAACCTCGAAATAAGAATGACAAGGAGATTTTTATCTCTCACACAATCGGAGGATTTTTTCTCAGCTTTGTTATCGCTTGGCGTCAATTAATTTCCTGCATATAAAATCTGGTCTTCTAATGCAAAAATGCTGACATATAATAACGTTCAGGAAATATGTCATAACTGCCTCTCTTAGCCTAAGCACCGCGATATAATAATAGAATATCAACTTTGACCGTTTGACCTGTACTATCGATATTGCCGTGGTGACACGTTACCGATTGTGCGGGTGAGAATTATAGGACAGAAGAATGGCCGGCAAGACTGAAATGAGCATCAGCCCTAATTGGAAGTTATCGAGCGACTGAGTTCAATTAAAGCACGTATCGCAGAGGCCTTATATATTCCCGCCGTATGAGCTTGAGCAGCCGTGGGCTGAACAGTTCATGCCCCGGCCGGGTTGAAATTTTCATATAAGACCATTAAATTTGACAGATGAGCCAATAAAATTTGTTGTACACTTTTCAAACAAGGGAATGAGAACTAAAGGGCATTTTTCTCCTCAACTTGAACGTATTTCTGATGTTAAGTGTGCACAATCGCTGAACTTTGTTTGACTTCTGAATGTTCTATCCATATTTAAATATTAATCACGCTAATGAATAAGAAATGTACATGGGACGCACAAAAAATCAAATCATGTTTTACATTATTTATTTAACTCCCACTAGACAAATGATGAAATTTTTCTTTATTCAGTAAAAACGTGCGCTTAAATCGTGCAAGTCTTTAGTGTTATTACGAATATTTTTTTATGTTGAATTCTTTTTACAGCCTGAAAGCGATTCGACGTACGAAAAAATTCACCTATCTAATTTGTTTATGCATGCTTACACTCACTTTCTCGTTACAGGAACATTTTAACGAAAACTTGTGACCGGAAAGTCACTCGTGTGAACTTGTGTAGCACATTGAATTGATCAAGCGAGAATTATCAAACGAAATTCAAAGGTTGAATTAAAAACTATAAATTGCATCATCATAAATGTAACTGTTGAGATCCCAGATAAATTAATTGGTCCACACATATCCCAGAGAAATCTCATTCAATGTACCGTACATTTTTTTCTTATAACGAAGACAAATTTTATTCACTACTTGCAGACAAAAAGTTCAAATAAGTAAGATAATTGGACTTGCAGATCTCGAGTTGGTTGCACGGAGTCACGATCATGAACTCGTCGTCGCCGATCTGTCAGACCGCCATCGGTCCAGCGACCGTCGCGCCGGAAATATGGAAGGGCTACGCTCAACTTATGAACTATTCCGTCTTCATTCCAACCGTAAGGAAATTCTATTATTTCAAGAGCTGGGAAGATCAATAAGGCAAACCTAGTCAGGAAACAAATCATTCATCAAATGGGCTGTTTATGACCTATAATATTTTCGAGAAAATAGTTGAACGATTTCTTAGTTTTCGTGTCAGTGCTCTCGATGAAGTTGTATAATGAGGAACAAATTTCGATGTTATCATCTCTAGTTACGAATTGAAGTAACATTTTATTTTAAATAATTACTTGAAATGATTTCATCATTGCAATTTCCATGCTGCGGCATGAAAAATATCTAATTCATGTATTATTACAGAGGAGAGTAACATTAGAGTAACTAATTATAAAAACGTCAATATGTCGATAAATTATAGTTATATACTTATTGGTATGTTGAAAAAGTACATGAACATGAATGAAAAAATTAACATTTTAAACTTTGCGTCATATATATGCTCTAATATTTTTACTTTGATTTAAAATAGCGTGAAGGCCAAACGTTGCGTCTACAAGCTTCTTGATTAAAGATTGCCGGTAGGCACGACAAGAGGCAGCTTTTGATTTCTTTCTTGCCGTCAGGGATCACCCATATTTGCTACGATGGTGGTCGACACCACTTCTCTCTACACCTACCACGAAAGTAAGGCCACTTTTACCTATACTCCTACTACGCAAGTAAGGTAACTTATCTATACACCTACCACGCAAGTAAGGCTACTTCTATCTACAGTTCTACACCTACCACGCAAGTAAGGCTACTTATCTCAACACCTACCACGCAAGTAAGGCCACTCCTCTCTACACCTACCACGCAAGTAAGGCCACTCCTCTTTACACCTGCTTCTCAAATATGGCTGCTTCTATTTGTATTCAGTTTAAAAATATCCCAGCAAGGGCACTCGAGATTGCTTGTCATGGAGGAAGTAAATCTTGTGGTAATACCAGAAAATGTTATCCATAGATTTCAAACTGAACGAGAATAAAATTTGTAAACCGCGTATATTATTCTGATACTAACAAATTCATAGAGATAAAAAGTACAATTTTATGTTCCTCGCATAAATTTTGACAAATAACTCCTCTTATTATTAATTGGACCTTCACTGCAGTTAAGCTTATCGTTATCGAGTCGTTGGGTTAAATGTCTGGGTTAAATGCCGAACCTGATGCCATCATTCCATGCAGACGCCAATACCACGACCTTCAACTGGACAGTTCCTTTGACCTACGCACTAGAGGGCGCGTACAACATCACTGGATACGCCAAGAATTTCTTGGGAAACGTAAGACATCATTTGACCATTTCTTTTACAGGTGGAAGTATGTAACCGTCCAAATTGTAGGGAATATATTAGTATCCCCAGATAATCTTTCAGTACTATGTTGAAGGAAGTTTTGGTGCAGCAAATTAATCAATTTAGTTTGGAAATTAATTGAATTCCCATTAATTGACCAACGACAGGTTTCTATGCCAATTCTCTCTATGAATTAATTTGCTGGTGACTGTGATGCACATGCTTGTATATAACCATTGCGGCAGGTGATAACCAAGATAGTGCTTAATAAACGTCCAATTCATGATTGATCAAATTAAGATTCATATTTGCAGGTAACATTTTCAACAATTGTTCACGTGGTGCCTGAAGTAACGGATACATGGGTGGTAACTGTGAGCTGCCCATGCTACAACATCGACCCTTACTTCACGGTCAACCTAACCTTCCCGTCTGCTGCTCATCCTCCCTGGAATCTAACCATAACAATAGCGTACACTGCGAACACAACAGCCTCTACGGCACTGAGCGACGTCTTTGTCGGTGAGTCTGGGAGTCCAACAACGTAATTCGTTTAACCAAAATCTTGCTTTTCAGCACTCGCAACATAATTGTTGAAGTTCCTATCTCTATGTGACCCGTAACGAAAAAAGTTCGCTGCTGCGTCAAATATTAAAACATCCTTTGGGGCGAAGGAATTTCATAGCCTATAGAAAAAATGAATTTCGAATTATTTAATAGTTTTTACTGTTCGCAATATACATTTGATTTATATAATAGCAATTCGATAACTAAGCTTTAGTCATAAAATCAGAGCTGGGCAGCGCTACTTTGAAAATGTAGCGGCCGCTACCGCTACGTGCTCTAAATGTAGCGGGCGCTACAGCTACAGCTACAATTGCTTTAAATGTAGCGCCGCTACCGCTACATTTAGCTCGCTACTGCCCACCTCTGCTAACAACTAACATGTTTACACTAGTAACAGGCTGAGGTTAACAACATTACACCGAAATTTTTCGTACAGTTTTATTCTGTAATTTATATTATGTATGTATCATGCTGGTTTTTAAAATAATATTTAATACTATTAAGTAAAATCTAAAGGCTTTATCTATAAATGTCACGGTAGCGCTGTAGCGGCACAACCTCGTATCGCTACTTAAATATGTAGCGCCACTACCGCTACCGCTACAAGTAGCGCGCTACTGCCCACCTCTGCATAAAATGCGCTGCAACTTCTATTTTCTTAATGCCTGAGAAGCTTGTGATTCTTAAATCGTTGGACAGAAGCTCGGTGTTCATGACTAATTTTTTCCCTAACACTAGCGAATAATATTCAATTAATACTTTCTCTTGATTAAACAAACATTGCATTTATTAATATCCTAATAAATATTTTTTACAACACGGTTGTTTTCGAAAATAAATTCTAATTTGTTATGGTGCTTTGAAGCCCTTGACCTCATGGCGTGATGCTAGTGTTTGTGAGTGTACCAACTTATCTGATTATCTCACCAAAACCTTACAGTACCTAGACTGGTATTAAATACCAGTCGTCTCTTCACTTTACTTCTTCTGTGAGGTACACGCGGGTTACAATTGTCACGATCTCTATAATAATATAGCCTACATTCAGATTATCGATTGCTGGTTCTGTTAATGATGTGTGAGATGTGGTAGATCAAGATATGCCGAACTAATAAGTGCATTCACGAAAAGAAACTCACGCTTTCTAAGTTACTCATCCCAACTTGACAACTTACTTAACATGAATATAATTTTTCTTTATTTTTTATCTTCTGTCGCTTCTTGGTTAATTGCTATTCTAAAGCCAAAGAAATGATTGAAATACTTATTCTACCTCTGGCTGTAGTTGCATCTGAAAATCGTCGTAATTTCATCTTAAAATTTTCAAACCGAATTATATTTCCAGTCTATGAATAAGAAAATACAAGAAATTTTCTTATTTTTTTCTAAACTGAAAAATGTATTGCATTGAATGTTTCAGCCCCTCGGGTGGAAGACTTTGGCACATATGATGGCAAAGGCCCGGGCGGAGCTAGTGGCGCTGCCAAGGAGTTAAAGCTTGGTTACCTGCTGCAGCCTGCGCAAGCCGGCAACTACTCCCTGCTAGTGAACCTTTCCAACGAGGTGTCGGCAGCACATTTTCCTGTGCAGGTGAGGTCCTGCGATCACGGTTACTTGCTTCTTGTTTTGAGTACCCTGAGACAGAGATGATAACTTTTTTAAAAACAGTATTATGGTGAGATGAAACACTTAATTATTTGCAGCGAAGGTGGCACCTTGGCATCTCTAGGCTATGATGTTAATAGCTCGTGTATTTAATGCCGTAGTTGCTCGAATTTACTTGAATGTTATCTTCCTTTGGAGAACTTACACTAATATGAATTCTTATGCACAACAGATCCAGGTCCTGGAAGGCATCAGGAACGTAACGGGCGTGGTCACCTGGGTGCTGGACGGAATAGAACGAGCTGGTAACGGACCAGCCGGTAACATCTTCGTTTCTAACCTGACGACCCTGGTGACTCCGAGCACCTTGACAGGTCTGCCAACTTGCTAGTGTTGTCTTTAATTAGGTTCAGATGGTTTTTACGGTCAACAACTCAATTGACAATATTTCCTCATATCTTTTCAACGTCTGACTTGGAATTTTCAAGTACACGGCTAGCAAGGGCAGCTCAGTGTTCGATTAAAAATTTCAAGGAAAACACTATAGTATCGTACTATTTTCAAATTTTGCAAACTATGTATTATTTAAAAGAATGTTAAGAAAATACTAGTTTAAAATTGAAAAAACTCTTAGAAGTACTTATTTATTAAATTAACATCAAATTCTATCTACGTCCCGGCTAAGAATTTTCCGGACCAGAAAATATTTGCTTGATTTGTATGAGCAATCGAGTTTAAAGTTAAATTGTCTTATTTAATTTCAACTAATGAACTAATTTTTTTGTGTTAATTAAGGTAGTGGTTTTCAGAGTGTTCTTAACTCGAGAGAGATCTAATTAAGATTTACTCATAGGCACTCCTGAAAAGTGGCGGCTTTACATCCTGCCGACAAAGGAGGAGAAAATTGTCGACTACGTCCCAGGTTACAAGTTCAACATCACCTACCCCGGTGTGAGTTGTGGACTACCATACGTGTCAGGTTACAAGTCGATCCAATTCATTGAAGTTCTGTATAGATATTTGCACATTTACAGTCATTTTTCACTTGAATTAGTGATATTTATAAGAATTATAATTTTTCTTCCAACGTTTGTCTGAATAAGATTTGTTGATTTTCACAGTAGTAACACTATCTTCGTTTGCAGTTTATGGTTCCCTAAGAACGGTTGTTCATATCCCGACGTAAGCAAATTGTGTGATATATTCACGACAATTAGCCTTAGACTTTTTTAGCTCCTGTATGGAAATAACTATGAGCTCTCCTATCGAAGGTGGGGCCGGTAACGTTCACCGTAAGCGCGTACAACAGCAAGCAAGGCTGGGTCGTCGCGCCGTCCCTCAACGTGACTTACGTCGACAGCATCGCTGGCTTCTCCTTATCTGACGACGGTGTGCTGGGATCTGTGGTGAGTGACGCGTTCTATTGTAGTGAACAAATGTAGTGAACAAATTACAACCCCAGCTGATTAAATTTCCTGACATACCCTGCAAAGATGGAAAATTTTCTAAATAACATAAGTAACGTCGTTGAAGTTTTAGTAATAAGATGCACTTTTATGAAATTAGTTCATTTAAACTTCTTGTTTAAACTTTCCTTAAACTAAACTTGAAGAGAAAAAACGTATGGCTGCGGAATTTGGCTCCACTGTATTAGTATATATTGATCATCAAGGCCTTCGAGAACCTTCTTTTTGTTGTCGCTTTGATAAATTACAGGATCACAGGGTTCTTATAATTATTAAAATGTTCGTATTTAATTATATAGATTCGTTTTATTCAGCTCGATTCATGTTCTTCAAATTTCTCTTTGGTTATCGTACCTGTATTCATCAGAAGCTATGCTAAGGAGGCCGAATATTTTGCTCGGGCATGCGCACAAGGCAAATATTAAAACAATGGGAATTCTCGAATCCGTCGTGGTTGTTACGTTTCGTTATTCAATCTAGTCACTGTTCTTCGATCGAATAAAAATAATATATCCGTCAGCAAATTCGAAATTTTTAATAAAGCCACTTATTGTCACTCTTTCTTTGTGGCAGAATGTGTCGAAGCCCGTGATCTCCACATTCGAGATCCTCACTCCCGTATCATGCCTCATCATCAACTGGGGCGACAACTCCACAGAAGAAGCGTTTGGGGACAAACTCACCTGTTCCAGGAGATATCCTGAAATTCCCTTCAAAGGATACATCTCCTCAAATCAGATCCTGCAACACACTTACACGTCAGTAAACTCCGGGGCTGAAAGGGCAACTATCCTCCCATATATCTCAATAAGTATGAGGAATGCGGCCTGAAAATATTTCATATTGTCGCTCGAGGCTCCATCTCAGTGAATCTGGACTTTAGATTGTCGAAGAAGTATTTTTGAACAAGCTTTACCTACCTGCCGTTGATGAGTTATGAGGTAGTGTTCGTTTATCTCTAATAAAAAGTTTTGTCATGGCTGGGTGGGAAAGTCACCAAATTGGTTGAACATCGTATACAATGCCTATATTAAACGTTCACTTCAGCATGTTAATCGGTATTACCCACAGTCATCGTATCATGGCTCGAGTTGAAATGATTTTTTTTGCATGACGTGATTTTTTCATGTTCCAAATCTGCCACAACTCTGTAGCGAGCCAGCCTTGGCCGCGCTTTAAACGCCGAGTTTTCTTCAGCCGCCGCACTTCTCTAACAAAGACTGAAGAGAAAAAGTGTGGCAGCTAATTTTCTCCGGAAGCAGCTGATTGCGAGTAGTCAGTAGGGAGGCTACTTTTGCCTGACTGGCCATTCTTTACAATTTCTGTAAACTTCTATAGGCTAGATCTTGATGAGCTTTTGTCAACTAATTAGGGTTTTGTTTATAGTCCTTTATCGTGGCTGCTGATTCTCAACTATATTAAAATATACCTTGTCGCCTTTGAAAATTCATTTGGTTTGAGAAATCCTCGTATGTTAGGGCCCTTGCGGGGCGCGAGCAGAGATCCAGTAACGCCATAGAAGGTGTGTAGTTGTCCCGCTACAACTCGAAAGAGACCGCTGCACATTTATAATTTATTAGTAGGTCGAACTATGAAAATTTGATGTTGTGCATGATCAAATATTTTAAATTTATATCAATTGAAAAAGGATATTCGATTTATCGCACAGTGTGGCTATAGGTTATAGAATATGTGTTATACTTTACATGGCTGTGTAAGCGCTTATTAGGCCATGTTGGATTGTCGCCGATCCTTCAACACCCGGCAACTTTTCTGATTTATACAAAAAATTTTCGCAACTAGTTGGGAGTTTCGAATCCGCAACTTGCTGCTCCATGCAATCTTTATGATCTTAGAGACTCGGACAAACCGAGCTATTCTGCATATATTTTCTCACACAGGCAAGGAACCATATATTGTCTCATGATGCATACTGAAGCCACTGCCATCCCCATTATTTGTTCTCAAATTCAGGAAGGAAGGAATCTTCACGGTTAGAGGGCTGGCATATGACCTGAGCAACAACGTGCTGACGTCTCAGTTGGATGTGGTGGTGGCCGACATCCCGTGCAAGATGCCTAACGTGAGCGTGGTGGACGCCGTCAAGCAGGTGTACAACGCGCCATCACAGATCAAAAGTCTACCCATCAGGGTCATGTCGAACACCATCATCGAATGCAACAAGACCGTCACTGTCAAGTTAGTGACCAATTGAACCATTGATAATTAAATAGAAGTCGCTTGGCTACTGACTAACAATATCACTAAATGCGATGGGAGTTGTAGCCTCAAGGGTGTGTTTTGCTAACAGGCTGGGCGTTACGGACCGTTATTTGGCCTCCCGCTCGGAGCCTGCCACGAAAATGATCATCAATTGAATTAATAAAACCTCCAGGCAGTCTTCATTTATAAAAATGTTCAAGTTTTATTGACAGAAGAAAGAACAGCTGCGGCTCGGAATAATGTGGCAACAAATAATATATTATGGGTGGCATTTAGATATTATCCCGACGATAAGGAAGGAGGAGGCCCTCTTCAAAGCCATGTTGTATAGATATATACATTTTATATTTAAACCCTGCTGGGTTCAAACATGAAGGACGGCATCTAAACTCTATTTTTATTTTTCATTTATTGTGATAATTTCAGGCGGTACTGGACAATAGAAATGGTCAACAGTACAACAGGAACAACTCTATCAATAAAGCCCATTGAAGGACTTCTGAGTTCCTGGAACTACACAACGCTGGTCGTAGACGCTCTCTTCTTAGACATCGGCTACTACAAGTTCACTTTCACAGTCGACGTGCAGGCCAGCAAGGTGATCGCCCTCATCAGGAGTGACTACACCTATTATCAGGTTATTCGGGTAAGTAAAGGTACTTTTTTTATACTGCCAAATTGTATTATTGTGTTATTCTTTCATAGATATAGCGTTAGATAATCCTAGTAATTTTTTTATTTAAATTACCAATTAGCCTAGCTAGCATGACTTGACAATTGAAGCTCAATTGTTTCATCAGTGCATCCATACAGGCTCGGAGATTTTGACGTAATCCAAAGGTATGTATAGTCGGTTTTATTCATCATTCCCATTCCATGAGAGCGATGCAACGATTACTCGATCAATGTAAGCATGCACTTGATGAACGCAATTTTGTCGTCTGTACTCCTATGTAGAACATTCAGGCTATTAGATTACCGGCGAGATAACCGCTTCATTCAGGAGCGGTTATCTGGCCGTTAAAATAGAATTTGGGCTCCCGGGTATAAATGAATGTCCTGATGAGTTCATTAAGGAATCAAAATAGCAAAGAACTTATAGTATGACGCCTAAACATAAATTATTATTTGTAAATTTGCTCGTGGAAGGTAAAGTATGACTGATGTGCAGTGACGACATTGTTTCGTGTTGTTCCCTCGTAGCGGATTTCTTGAATATCAAAGCTAATCAGAAAGTCGAGAACACACGCGGGACAAATAAGCCGTGACTTTGGTATAACTGTAAAAAACAGGAGCTTTTAAATAAGATATGCTGGCAAGTATAAACGTAAGAAGCTCTATCCTACCAGGATGCACCAGGGTAACTAAACTCATCTACAGGGTTGTCCAGAGTCTCTGCAAGACTCCAGAAAAAGTTTACAATGGAGATAGTAGTTTTACGGCCATATCTTCTTGAAAACATCAAACTTGTTATTACGGAGAATTATTTTGGTATATTGCTGTGCGCAGAGTAACCTGAGCGCTAGTATACTGGCGGGCGGCATCACGAGCATGAGTCGCGCGTACACGCAGAACCTCGACCTCAAGCCTGGCACGGAGAGCGTCGACCCAGACGAGCCGAGCGCGCCGGTGAGCCGACGATTGTGATGCTCAGCGCGACGCTACTCGCTGATTATTGGCTGAGATGGAGGATACCGTTTTATTTAATATTCCAAATCACCGCTCAAAATGCAACCCAAGGTTTCGGGGGTTGACGTGTTTTTATCTTTTATACAGTTCACACCTTTCATTCAGAGCTCTACCTTAAAATTCTAATTAAGGCTTAGTAATTTAATCTATACCCTGAAATTAATCGTGCACTTTTTGTGCCAGTATTTAGTCTTCTATTCCCGAATCTATGGCTACCAGTGTGGCAATGAAATATTTATACCTCATTAATAGATAGTAATATTGGTTTTCAGTTCACGGACGTGAAGTGGTATTGTCGGCAAATACTTCCTACGGCGGAGAAGCTGCAGGTGGATGCCCAGAACTTTCCTCTGGACGTCAACACGCAGCCCATACCCGCCCCGAAGGCGGCGGTCGGCAGAACCGGCGGCGGCTGCTTCGGTGTGGGACCTGGTGGGTGACAGTGATCCAGCTGACTGAACACAGTAAAATACTTCTCTTCAAGTCCGCTCTGTAAACCAAGAATGATTTTAAGTAATGGTCAACGGATATTTCTCGATTTGACTTTTACATTTTACTCTCACATTTCTATGGCAGGGATGCTATCGTACACTGGAGCCGTGATGACATTACAGCTGTCGTCATTTTATTTGCCTGAGGCCACGTATGAATTCACGGCTGTCGTCCTAAAAGACGTGCGACGAGCAAAAGCTACACTAGAACTCAAAGTCGTGGCTCAACCGCCGCCTGAAGTAGCGATAAGGTGAGTACGCCGCAGGACGATTAACGCTGAGATAAGTGCGAGTAAAGATCACGATAATCATACGAAAGCAGCTGATTTGGATCAAACAAATTAAAATATTGAACGCAATTGTAAAATATTTGGAACTCATTGATCATTATAACCATTAATTCTATGATAGAAATGCGCTTCGTGCTGAGTATGACTGAGATAAAAGCTCATATCAAGTCTCACTACTTCTTCTTTCAATGAAATAGGAAACGAAACAAATCATCGTATTTTAGACGATTGATAACGCGCAATAAACTGTTGAACTCTTTCTTTCATGGAAATTATTCACTTAGCAGCTGAAACCGCTCCATATTCATCTACTAATTGATCAGTAACTAATTATGATAATCGTTATTTATCACTTCGCTGCTTATGGTTCGTCGCAGATGTGCGGTGCCAAGTCTTTGCTTGGCGCAGAGCGACGGCAGACTGGTCAACCCTGCGCTTCGCCTCACTCTTGCCGGCAGCTGTACGGCATTCTGTACCTCGCCACAATACTACAGCTGGGCAGTTAGGAAGGAGTAAGGATCATTTTTGTTTGAATAAAATAGGTCTTCATGATGAAAAATATTATTGAAAGCTTCAGGTGTCTCAGTAGTTATTTTCGGATTATTTTTTTCTTTGTGCTGGCTTTCTTCATGTATATAATGCGATAATTAAATTAAACCTTTAAATGGTATCAGGGTTACTCAGATTATTAATCAATTTGCTCGAACTCTATTTGTGTGAAATGATTTGGTACAAAGAAAGACTTTGTACCCTTTATTATTTATTACCATTATTTATTAAAAAAAATAAATTCCCTTTATTTATTCCAAAACTGGTCAAGTTTGGAATAAATAAAGGGAATTTACATGCAATAAACGAGTCATGTAACTTGCCGCCCCAGGAAGTATTAAATGGTATCACATTATTTTTTGGAACGGGAGGATTCTTTGTGAGTCCAATTGACAGCTCTTTTATTATCTTAATCTTGAAATAAATCGAATGTTTAGGCACTTCTGAACGTATATAAAAATCTGAGAGCAAGTTACTTATCACAGCAATGGCGACTACATCGTCATAGACGAGCCGAACTGTGACGCGTCAAAGACAACATGCCAGCAAAGTGAGCACGAGACTGGAACTCCGGAGTATTTGAAGTTTCGTTACATTATGATCACACTCTACTGAATTTTCTTGTTATGATTATTTTTCCCTTTTTTATTAACGATTAATTATAGTCACACATTTTGCTTATATGCGCATAAATTACAAAATATAATTCGAAAATAGTGATGGACTGCACTCATTCGTATAACGATGTTTAATCAATGACTGTAGGAATTGACACATTTAAGCATTGAGATTCATTTGTAATCCATCTAAATTATGAATTTTTGCACAGAAAATAACCTATCTGGTGTAACGTTAGTGACAAATCCTTTGATCAAAACGAACATAGTATAGTCGTATAATGTTAAAGAAGGCCATGCCATCATGTATAATGAATTAGAGTACGTTCGTAAAAGATAACGTAATAGATTAGTAATTTTTACGTATTGGTTGATGTTTTATATAGAAAACTGAATAATATAGACTTTACTTTATATGTGTAAAACAATTATTTTGTATTAACGCATCGATGTTGACAGGCTTTGACTCAGGGACTGATGGGATGACGGTCAGTCTTTCACCGTCACTCTATGCGCTCAATCCATTATCGGAAAAATTCACAGTCCGTCTAACCATCATCACCTCTGATAATCGGATCGGGTAATTGAGTTTGAATTTCTAGATTGAAAAGCCTTTAACAAAGTCTTTATTTAACCTTGAACCGTATGCATAATTTTTTGCTTTCCGGTTTTCGTTCCTAAATTGCATATTGAGCGTAGAGTAAATCTTTTATTTGTATCTTCAAGTTATTTTTTGCATGCTTCTCGGATGAAATAAAATGCTTCACTGTTTTAATATCACTTTCATGTCACCAGCAGTATACATGACAGAGAGCCTTTTATTGAAACATCTAATAGGCACATGTGAAATAGTAAATATGTTGATCTTATGGTTTAAAATTGCATGTAAATCAGCTGATATAATTCACAAAAAATTTTCAGTGAATGTAGTGAACGAAGCGCTCGTTTGGTTTGCTTTTATGCCGTTTAATATTTCTACAGGTACTCACAAATTGTGATTAAGAAAAACAAACCACCTACCGGAGGGACTTGCAGTGTTACATCCGTCAACGGTTATTACTGTCTCCTGTCACAATTTACGGTGTCGTGCGATAAATGGCAGGACCCTGAAGCCATTGGCATCTCCGCATATAATTTTTATTATCTGGAATATAAACTCGACGGGAAGATCCTTAAAGCAGCCATGGCCAGTACGTCACAAAATCGCTTGTCTGCTGTTTTTCCATACGGAAATTTCAGTGTGTACGTAGAAGTTTCAGACTCATTCGGTGCAAACACAGAGTACTTTATCGGTAACGTTACGACCATCATGCCCACTAAAGATATGGTGACAGCATACAACACGACTGCAGTTCTGACTGCTCTTTCCACAGCGGGCGATTCCGTTCAGATTTCGATGTTCATAAAAGCACTAAACTCTCTAGTAGCAAATGCCAACTGGAGCGATATCTCAGACAGCGCCTTCTTCCAAAAAAATATCACGGAGCAAGAAGCGATGCTTACCGAATTATCAGATTCTAAATCGCAACAACTGCAGTCCTTGAAAAATTCAGCTCCTCCATCCAGCATCGCCGAAGTCAACGTGTTCTCTGATGTACTGGACAGCTCTGTATCTCTTATTCTAGGAAGTCAAGCTGGTCCCATGACCGTAGGCATGGACGCTCGAGAAGATTGCCTCTCTACGCTGGAAAAGATCTCAGGTGCCCTGCCTGGCATTCCAGTGGGATCAGCTTATGAGTATGAACCGTTCGTGAAGAGTGCCCTTGGAGTGATGACAGCTCTGATGAAAGGCATGAATGGGATCTTGGAAGCCGAAGAACTCTTGCCACCCAAAGATAGACAGGCCGCTGCCAAAGGTGCTCTTGACTACGATGGAGCAATTCCTGATGATCCGAACATGGAAATTCCAGATAACTTGGGCGACATCTACAAGCAGAGCATAATGGAAAGTACCAGTAGACAGAGTATAAGTCAATTAAATCGGATGAATGCAGTTGTTGAGTCCATAAATACCCAAGTTTCATCAAAGCTCGTTAAAGGAGAATCATTTTCGACACGTTCCAGCTCTGGCGCATCAATTTATATTGGAAAAATTGGAGAGGAAACCTTGAAAAATGGACTCACTATCCGCTCCCCCATTGACTTGAACAGTTCAGTCATTCTTCCACAAGACTTTTGTCCTTCAATATTTAGTGATGAATATTCAGATTGCAGGAAAGAATTCGGATTGATGTTCGTTACGTGGCCTGTTATCACGCACTTCCATCCTACGACCCGAGTTTATTTAGCTAGATTCACCAAAATCATCGAGCTAGTTGTTACCAGCAACGAAAATCGAGTGAACTTTACAAATGCGACAAAACTAATTCAAATGGAAATTCCTCGGGATACTAATGTAAATTTGACCTCATTATCAGCGAATGTCACTGAAAATATTAATTCAGCCATTCCCTTGGTTTTTCATTACTTCAATATAACGGCTCCGCAAGCTGCTTATTTAATCGCTGTCAAGCCTTCATCAAATACCGAACGTCTCGTTCTTCTTGTTGCTCACGAAATGTTTCCTGTTCCGGGAAAGTTTCTCTTCAGCCGCCTAATAGGAGAATTGCCTTTTGTAGGTGATTACCACACTCTTTTTATCGACTCAGACACAAACAACAATAGAACTGGAAGATTTGTGGCTGGTGTTGGAAAACTCCTTAATAATGCTCATCCATCCAATTTCACTCGTAAAGATTTAGATGCAAAATTTTCTTCAAATTATTTTTTCAAAATCACGATCGTTGGATGCTACTTCTATGATGAACCGACACGTTCTTGGTCAGCAACGGGTTTGAAAGTGCTTTCTGCTAATGCAACACACACAAAATGTGGCTCTAATCATCTTACCCAGTTCGGTTCAGGATTTTTGCCAACTGTGAACGAAATTAATTTCGAATTTTTAATAGCGAACATGGGCTTTGTTGATAATTCAACTCTCTATGCTACTCTGATCGTACTTATTGTCTTGTTTATCGTTGCTATGATTTGGGGCCACTACAAAGACAAAAAGGATATTGAAAGGAGAGGTGTCATTCCGTTGCCAGATAATAAACCCGAAGATAAATACATCTATGAAGTTACTTTCGTTACAGGCCCCGATTCGGACGCTCCATGTGAATCTCAGATATATTTTATGGCGTCTGGTGCATATGATGAAACTGAAGTACGATTTATGCCTAAAGCAAACTCGAATCTCTACCGTCGATACGACAGGAACACATTTGTGATGACAACGGCTAGACCACTCGGTCCTCTGCACTACTTGCGAGTTTTCTTAGACAATAGAGGCAGGTTGCCGTACGATAGCTGGCAGCTTGAACGTGTTGTGTTCAGAGACCTCCAGAAGTTTGAGCAGTACACCTTCGAAACAAATGCCTGGCTTGCGCTGAATCGTGGCGAAGGATTAATAGACAGAACATTCTTGTGCGCCAATAACAACGAAGATACCTCAACTTTCTCACAAAGGATGTACGTAAATACAAATAGAAACGCTAATCAAGACCATATCTGGATGTCAGTTTTCTTACGCCCCATCGGGTCCCGCTACTGTCGAAAAGAAAGAATCGTTGTTTGTACGACGTTTCTATTCGTTTCCATGCTACTAAATGCGATGTTCTACCAGATTGAAGGAGAGTCTCCAATTGATGGATATGCGTACATCGGCCCCGTTCCAATCGCCTTGTCCCAAATGTTCAAAGGCTTCATGGTGATCATTTTCGTCTTCCCCTTCACAGCATTACTTGGAGTTATATTCAAAAGAGCTCGTCCGAGAAAATACGTTAGATGTAAAGCACTAGACGCCATCGAGAAACAGAGGAAAACTCAATTTATGACGGCTGGATTGTCAGAGGAAGACGCATCAGAAAACTCGAAAGTCCCCGAAAAGCATGACGAGGAGCCCAAACCAAAAATGAAACCTGTTGTAAAATGTCTGCCGTGGTGGACACGGCTACTTGGATGGATCATTTGTGCTGTGGTTATGGCAGGGTCTTTGTTCCTGGTTTGGAGTTATGGGATCACTTGGGGAGAGATTACCACCGTCAAATGGTTTTCTTCTTTCTTCACGACCTTTTTAGTGTCAATTCTGGTGAGCCAATGGATTAAGGTGGCGTTTGTCTCGTGCTTCGGCAGCCTTTGTTGTGCTCCTGACCACTCTGTGGACGACATCGACTGCGACGAGGAACTTCCCCAACTGAAGGAAGATGAAAAATGGGCTTTCATGAGTCCCTTGGATCCATCCATTGTGAGGGACGTTCATAGAGTCATCGGTGTCACACACGATGTTGAAAAGACGAAGAATTTGAGGGTTAAACTAACCAAAGAACGAGACATGAAATTTATCGTCCGCGGAGTTCTAGTTTATTGCATCTTCCTCGCCGTGCTGCTCATTATTGTTACCGACAAGACTAACTACAACGCTTTCCTGATGCAAAAACATTTCAGCGATACCTTCATTAAACTTAAAGATAATTATCTTGCATACGGACGCCCAAACCAGGTAACTATAATTTAATCGCCACTGAGATCGCTTTCTTTTTGTCACGCATTGACTCGCAGTAACTTCATACCATTGTACGAAGAAACATAAATTATTTTGTTTTGCAATCGACTATTGCTCTAATTTTTCATGCTATCAGAGGGCTGTTCTTCCGTTCTGAGACATCTTTGAAGTATTGAGAACAAATTTTGGGGGATAACGTAAATAGATTTTTGCTTATAGTCGATTTACATCTGTCATGAAAATGCACAATCTTCTTCCTTCCACTTGCACCGCAAATGCGTCACTCTTCCTTATGAGCTCTTCGTGTGTAAAAAATCTCAAGGAAGCTTGCCTCTGGATCATAAATACTTATCTATCGTTTACATAGCTTATGGCGGTGAATACTAAGTCATTTTTACATCCTCCTCCACCTCAGCCCTTTCTTGGTTTTCTTCGTTGAATATGTTAAGCACATGTGTTGTCATAAATATCTAATTAAATTTCTATTGATATTCTATTATAATATTTTTACTTGTTTTAGCTGCGTAACACGGACCAGTTCTGGCTCTGGGCAAAACTCGCGGTCATGAACATAACTCGAGCGCAGCGGTGGTACAACGGAGCCACGCCCTACGGCCTTCGTGGCTTCATGGATGACAGGGCCAACCGGATGGTGGGCTACCCCATCCTGCGACAGATACGCAACTCCCGCTTTGTCTGCTCGGTGCCGTACCCCATGAACGACACTCTTCCAGAATGCACTGGCGATCGAGGCGTGCTTCTAGAAGATTATCAAGATTACTGTGCGAATTGGGTACTATTTAATCATTCTGATCCTTCTTGTAATTACCCTGAGTTCAAGTATCAAACATCGAGGCAACTAAAAAGCTTCACAAGTGTGGGTCGTCTCGGAACTTATGGAGCCGGTGGATACGTCATCAGACTTAATGGCAATCAAGAAGATGTCATTGCAAGGCTGGATCAGCTCCAAAAAGTTCATTGGATTGACAAGCGCTCGCGAGCTGTGATCTTTGAGTTCTCCGTATACAACGCCAATGTTAACTTATTCATGACAGGTACGATTTACTTTGAGATCAACGAAGGAGGCGGTATCGTTACTAAATGGAGGTTTGAACCTGTACGACTTCTCCGACTGGAGAGCAGCGCCAGCGACAAATTTCTCACGTTGTGTGAGCTTACGTTTGTCGTATCGACAGTTTTCTTCACAATTAGGCAGCTGTGGGAATTAAAGAAACAGAAATGTGGATACTTCCTCATGTACTGGAACATTGCGGAAATTTCTATAGTGCTGTTCTCTTGGGTAGAGATTGCATTGTACATTTATAAGCTGCTCCTCACCCTTGACGTGTCGCATGAATTCAACCAAACGAAAGGCAACGCTTATCTGCGAATGGACTACCCTGTACTGATCGACCAATATTACACGTACATCCTTGGCCTGATCATGTTTTTATCTATATTGAAACTGATCAAACTGCTGCAGTTCAACAAAAGGATGGACGTGCTTGCTCTCACCATTGCTCTGTGCTGGGACGAGCTGTCATATTTTTTCATTGCATTTACTGTGATCTTTTTCGCATTCTGCTGCTTGTTCTATCTAATCTTCTACCTGTTCCTGCCTCAGTTCTCAACCGTTATCTCTGCTGTTCAAACCAGTTTCTCAATGATGCTTGGTAAATTCGACTTCGCTGAAATGCAACAAGCGAATTCGCTGTCACCTCTCCTATTCTTCATCTTCTCAGTTCTGAATAGCATGGTCCTGGTCAACATTATGCTCGCCATCATCTTGAAAGCTTTCAACGAGATCAAAATAGATCTGAGCAAGAGAGAGAACCCCTACGACGTCATGGACTACATGTGGGATAATTTCAAGAAGTATCTGGTGCTGCAACCTAACGAAATTAATCAAGTTGAAGTGAATCTGAACAAGAGGGAGCGCGTGGCCGTGCAATCTGAGAGTGATCGTGATTTGCCAGACAAGGTTTGCATTTGCGACCGATATGATATACTATAAAATTTTACAGTAGAAAGATAAGAAGTAAAACTTACGCATTTTTTCGTTTATGTTTGTTCACATTAAAAAATGTGAATTATTTCAAGAAATCATAATCGTGAGCTATTACCGCTTGAATGATAATAATTGCTAGAAAAATGCATACATTATGAGTATTTGATCGTTCATAATCGAGTACGATACAATTGAAAGCATATGTGAAAATCTTGAGTAATGATCTGCAACAATACTGTATAATGGTCTTACACGAAGAATTTTTTTACATTGGTGTAGATAATCAGAATTCGCAAAAATTAAAATCTCTTCCAGTGAAAATTATTCAACAACATTCGATATTGACGAAATAATTGTAGTTCTTGCTAGTTACGCAGTTTGTACCCGCTATCTTAAATTTTACCACAGTTTGTTTGAAGCTGAGAAACCTAATTGATAAATATCAATGAAACTAATATAAATTATAATAATCGCGTGTAAAATTCAGTAATATCATGATCTAAATTAATTTTTGTCATTAAATATAATCATTGATGTACAGGTGGGGCAGTTGCTACAGCACATCAACAGCGTTTACTTCGATGGGCGCCTGGACCTCTCCGACTCGCAGGCGCTGAAGGAGGCCTTGCACGCGGACGCTCAGAAGAAGCGGGCGCCGATCTTCCAGCACGACGGCAAGCCCCGAACCATCTTCTTCAGCGATTAAAGTTGCTTAAGTGACATTGAAAACGTACGTACACTTCAGCTTTTGAAAACAAATTTCGAGCGGTCTTGATGATCGGTTTGAGAACTCACGTTTTTCAAGGATTTACCCTTGATCATCTAAGATTCCTGTCACCTACGTACTATCAAAAGTAATATCACATTGTTTCCATTAAAGGCCTCGCGTTAATCACCTGAAAATGCGCAAATTTATTAACTGTATTTAACTACAAAAGAATGAAATCGCGTATTAATCCTATCAATATTTGAATTTAGGGTTAATTAAATTTTTTTACCAGCCATAATATCTTCTCGTTAGTCTTGCAAACATCCGACTGATGCCTCACGATTATGAGACGTAGATAAGTGAATTCCTCTAAACGTATCGAGTACATTAATTTGTTTCGTATGTCTCGAATAAATGCTGGATCGATAACAAAAAATAAAATGCACGCAATAGATATTTTTGATAAGTACAACACACAAAGATTCGTCTTAGTATTAGAAATTCCTCCTAAAAAGGACCTGCAGCTAATGCAAGTGTTTATCGTATCTATTACTTTATCCATGTTCGATTGATGAACAGAGAATAACTTAAAAAAATCTTTTGTTCGTTTTTTCCAATCAAAGTGTTTTTCGCTGTTGTTGGTTGATTGAAAAGTAAGTTTACCTAAGATACGTCATACGAGTACTTCGAAATATCAACGCAGTTTAGAAGATAACAGTCTTTATCATGAGACTCAAGATTTGGAATTGTAATCCATATAAGTACCCAAAATAGGTAAATTGAATACCAATCAAAGGTTAAATTTAAAAATTTATTCCGTATAGAATTTAGAAAAACTGGCAAATCCGTTTGCTTTGGAGATTAATAGCTGAAGTCTGATCCTTCAATATGAGGGCTTCTACTGTCTATAAGTGGGAGGAGTTTAGATGTACAAGATTGATTTCAATTTGATAATCCTATCCTGAATCCCGTTGATTGTATCCCTCTATAATATTACCGGCTGAAAACAATGTAACAGAAAACCTTTCACGAATATATAATAGATTTTCTTTATAGTGTTATGTGTGTGTTTTGAATATAAATTAATGTATAGAAGCTACTGTGGCCGGCACAAACAATCCTTGTCGCGACGTGATGTTACGTTGCAACAAATATTCAACTTTAGAAAATCGCGAGGCAACGCGGGGTATACGTGTTGGATTGGGAAATCGATATCTAATATTATCCAAAATTTATACATACATGGATATATAATTTATGACTACTTAATTAAAATTTTCGAATTTTGGGCCGGGGTCTAAAAATAGGTTATTGAGAAACAAAGGTTTGCACGCGACTGCTTGGAATAGGCAGTACTTTATTGCTTGCCAGTTTCTTGAATGGCAAGCGAGTCGCGTAAATACGATTTGTTCATTTATCTGAGGGAAGTTTCGTAATGAGTCTGGCCGACCCACTAAAGTGGGCCAAGCTTCTTAATGTTGATGCACCGTGTTTACTCACTGTTGTTCCACAACTCAATTATGCTTATTAATTATTGAACTGAGGTTACCATGGAAACCAATTCCCGCTCCCCAATGGTATACATATACATGATAATCGTTTTCTTGTGTATCTTTTTACGCACGGAAGACAGATGTAATATTATTATGTTCAGTTTGAGCAACTTTATTCTAAGTAATCGAGAACTTTAAGCACTGCAGGTTTTTAATTATCCCCAAGAGACCACGGAAAGAATTATGCTCTCAAATAACCTGGGATCGCTATGAATTTTGGCGGACACGATGTGAAATTCTCAGACGAAAATCAATCATTCGTTCCGAGTTGGACAATATATAGTGTGGTATTGTTGATGGAATGAATTCATTAGCTGATATAAATTTACGGCAAACCCGTGAAAACAAAAACATAATTCATTTTGAGATGTTTCGCTTGACCAGAAAGTAGAAATTAATAAATAAATAAATGAAATAACTTGCAATATAATTGAGTGAAATTTTATCTAATATTTTATAGAACCTAAATTAAATAAAAGAACCTAAAGAACCTAAATTAAATATAGAACCTTTGAATTAAATAAAATGCACCCTTGATTTTGATATTCGGAAATTTCTAGGACTCTAGGATTTTGTAGTAAGACAAAATGCAGCAAAATATAGGAACGGAATACAAGAGGCAAATGAAATCAGGGATTCGAGATGGGGAGATGAATTAATCTTTCCGGACACTGAAACAAGTTAGAAATCACTTTCCTTAAGGAATATTCCTCTAATTCAATTTTGAAACACGGGGAAATGAAATAAAGTTGCAATAAGTGGATCGAATCGCACACGTTTGATTGATTAATTTGGCACAAACTCGAGGTTGGACAACTTGGATGATTAATTTAAAGTACCTTCATTATAAATATTATGTTAGTGTGGCTGATAATGCCGAAGTGACGAAGCTTGGTTTTAATTACTCGGGCGGTAGCAGAAAATAACATATGCTGAACTGACGGATGGTGCCGTATGTTGAGGAATGTGGGCAGACGCAATAATTATTACGGACCAAGTGAGCCGAGTGATGATCAGCTGGGGCTTTACTGTGACAGCAGCCAACTGCAACCGGACAGCGACGCCATGTTGGAATTGCAAAGTCAACGATCTGCGTTGCCACGTTGTGAGATGTTGAACCGATGGTTGCGATATTGCATAAATTTATCTCTGATTCTTTCGATCACACGTGGTTTGAAATTGTTTCCTTGTGATTCAAGAGAAAAGCAACTTGAAACTAAACCATGAATTGGCACCTTTGACCTTACTTGGTACGTTTGCGTTGATTGTAGATAAGGAGCTGTTGCTAATGTATGGGCGAGGCGGGCAAAGTGTCATGAGCAAACAAGTGTTGTAGGCAACAAGTGTCATGGGACACAAAGCATTACGGGCAATCAAGTGTTATGGTCAACCAGGAGTCATGGGCAACCATGGGCAATGTCGTACGCACCTGGGCATCTGCGCACTGGGGCACCTGAGCATTTGGATACATGAGCCCTTTGTGACCTGGGCAAATTGGGCACCTAAGCATATGCGTAACCGGCAACAGGGCGGCTATGTGCTCCAGGCTCCGAAGAACGGGCTGCTGGACTCTTGCGTTCGGTACTTCTATCTATTCAAGATTAGAGGAGATCAGAAGCTTTGTTCCGATTATCGATAAGAAAAATCGGATTAATTTTCGGCGCTCAGTGGGAATTCCGGGACGATACCGAGACGAGATAAGACGCCCCGAACAAATAAGAATTTTACCATTTTCCGAAATATACATCATTTTCTACCGAGACATAACGAGGCACACTAGTTAATCCTTAATATTGAATTCAGATAATAAATTGTTTCAGATATTTAATGGTAGAAAACTGAAGGTGTCTTGTACTTTCACTTAATAAATTTCATAGCTCAATCAATTCCCTAGTATTTCTGACATGACTTCCAATGTGAATTCAAAGTAAATACTAATAATTCGACGAAATTTAAATTAATTCTCACTTATACGAGCACACACAGCAGTTTCGTTGTTCAATACTCTGCCTTTCTTACTTAATGACTCGAAAAAATAATCCTAGACCTAGATTCGCCTGTCTCGTGCCCAAGGCTCCAAGCAAGTGAAGCAACCACGTTCTTTAGCCAACGGCCACGCTGCAAGCAATATAACTATCGCACTCTACGCATGCAGCCATCGTTAACCGTCGCGCAGCTAACGTCCATTGCCAACTATCTCTCAGCAAGCTCGCAGTTGATCGCCATCTCTTCAGCCTCATTGGAGAGTTCTTCACTCATTCTCGACAAGATGGCTTCTAGCTACTTGATCTCATTTCGGTTTTTCTGGCTTCAACCGTCTTTGAATCGATATAGAACTGCAAATAACTGGCGGCGGTTACCATTTGGGCACTGAAGAGGCCACAGTGGTACCGTAGCTGATGTTATGGACCCAGCACTAGGAACGTCATGTCGGCTTAGACCACAACGCTCAGGGATGGGAGGCAGTGTGGGGTAACTGCCGTACGTTACCCGCACAGTGAGGAAATTACGAGCTCGGAAATGAATCAAACTGGATCAAGTGAATTTATTTGATACGGCAAAGAATACGGGAATGATAACAGAAATAATAGAAATAATGCCCTTGGCAACGTGGGAACCTGTTCGAGAAGTATGTCTTATAAGTAACCATGATGAGGCAAATAATAGTACAATATAACCAGTTATGCATATAAACACAGAAACTTATCTTAGAGACCTAAATCTTAACTAACCTGCTGTTGTGGATCGGCTGGGCTATACTGACTTAGGGACAAACTAGAACGCGAGGTAAACTTCCTAACGGTGTTGCCAAGTCAGAGGAAAAATGATATATTTATTTAAAAGTCGTAATTTCTAGGTTCGCTACAGCAGCTATCGAGGTCAAGAATCCAGTTCTTCATTCATGGGGGTTAGCGGCAGAAAATTATGCTCAGTGCTTTAAAAGCTTATACATGATATCTTGTCCGTCCATCTGATGGTTTAATCTCCAGTTGAGCTGAGATTACTAGATTAAAATTGGAACTGATTTGTCGTTATTACCACTTGATGCTGCGTTATGTCTAGGCTTAGACAGCACCTAGCTTTGCCGTCTCTCAGAATCTTAATGCTTATAAACTTCAGCCTCATTGGTAAAAATCTTGGTAAACCTCGTTGATTCCAACCTACATTTACATTTATGTCGAAGCTCGTATTTTCGAAAACAATGAATCGCAGATTTTATTGGCTTGCTGTCCTAGCAAGCCCCCAACCTTCAGACCCTCTGTTAATTATTAATCCTCGTTAAATTATTATGGCTTTATATAAACCCCATCCTCAGTGGTTCAACACTGATGAACATTTTGTCCGTTTACAGCGGTTCATATATTTTACCAATTAAAATTATATCGCTTCTGTGAATGGAAATTTGAAGGGCCAAAGAAAGCCTGGGACCTCGTGTATCAATCGCTCTAATTAGTTGGTAATAACCACTACTTATTATTGAGCTAGTGGCCTCGCGTACAGGACTGCGGCTCGATTCAGTGGTTAATAGTGAGTAGAGTCCGGGAGGTCCCCGGAGAAACGAATTAGTTAGGAGAACAGAAGAAATGGCGTTCGCCACTAGCACGAGAGTGACGAGACAAATGCATCTCGCCTGGAGCAGATGAAATCTCGCCTGCGGTAGGCAAAATCTGGTGCAACATTTTACACTACAGCTCTCGCCTGTGGTGTAAAATTTGGGTTAGGATACTTAATCCCGACGGATATATGTTTCACACAGAAGTTCATTAAATCGAAACCCAGTACGCTTTCAAATTAATTTTTTTCATTGATGTTACGTTCGTGCGATCGTAAGCAGAATCATTTTTGTCAGCTCCGTATACAAGTAGTGCGCTAAACGTTTGGTCGTAGCACCCTCTGCACGCCTAATTCAACTAGCGCTAGGCGCACTTGGTGAAAACGGAACAGCAGAAGTAATACTGACAACGCTCGCAGGAGCGTAATCTGAATAGATTGATTCGTTGTTACTTAAATCGAGATTGATTTTGATTTGAAAAAAGCATGGGCGTGGAAAATGTGCTAAAAAATGAAATTAAGCGCGCTAATCAAGACTCCGGAATCAAGACTTCTGTTGTCCTCGGGTCAAGATCGCTTTTGATTAACAAACAAATGCGAGGAAAACGTGCAATTCAAATTCGTTCCAAAGACTCGTCCAAGAAGAGTCCGAGCGGTATTTTCGAACTTTCCGGATACGGATAACTATGGTCAAAGCGGCTTCGCGCGGCGACGCGGTGTACACTGTACTCGCACTCTCGCAGTCGCCACCCGCCGGGAGGTTGTGCTCTGTGAATCGTGATCAAATATCATCAACGTAACGATTTCTTTCACGCTTAAACATAATATTACAAACTATTACGGTTATTCATTCACTAACTTGATTTTGTATTGCACTTTTCTTTATAACACGAGTATATTAGCTATAAGTGTTCAATTTCAAGAACCCGGCTGCGGCTGGCAGCTGGCTCTCTCGCCCCTCCCCCCTCCTCTTCTCGTCACGGGAAGAGGCAGTAGGTTTGTGAGCCAGCTAGAAATTAGATCAACAGCCTAACAGGTAGCAAAAACTGGCTCTGTTCTCTCATTATTATTGATTCAATCATTATTGTATTTTGTGTGTTGTATTAGGCCTAATTGTATTGTTTTTGTAACTTCATTGATTGATTCATTTGATTGTAATTTGTATTTGTATCACAGTTACAGTAGGCTAGCTATTCAGCAACTTGTAGTGTACAACTGTACCAGAATTTTGTGTACCTCTATTGTAAATTTTATAGTCAAGTGTATGCTACATATTCAACTTGATTGTTAATATTACGTTTTTTTTTTGCTGTAATAAATCCATGACCATCTGACCTAAGTATTGGATGAGTGGACATAGTGGCAAGCAGAGAGTTATTTAGACTCTCCCTCAAGTTTATTTTTGAGTCCTATTAGTAGACCAGTTAAGTATCCTGGGACCTGGATACCAGCATTATCATACTTAGAAATTGGTTTAAATCTTGAATAAATGAGGAAATTAAAAATGAACTGATTCTAAAAAAAACTCTGGTTAGCCACTATGTGAGTGGATGCCCATTGTTGTTTCTCCTGTGTTTATCTGAAAAAATTT